ATAGATTTGAAAAAAAAAATATTTTAAAAATTGTTAGATACCATACCCAGTTTCCACTATTTTTCAAAATTCAATATTTTGCCTTTTATCGAATTTAAAATGTACTCCTTAGGTACTTTTAGCTCACACTGTATACATCTTACAGGTAGGTATGTAAATAATGCAAATTTTCCAATCAAATCACAAAAGATCTTATAGGTATATTCTTTTTATATAACATTAAAATGAAGCAAAAGAGGTTGAGGCTGTGTGAGCTTATATTCGAACAAATTAAAGTTGCTGTCCTTTCAATATTTTTCTTTCATATACCTGTTCAATGAAATTCCTGTTATTCATCGTAATCCCATATTTATTGTTCTTCTACAGAACTGGTCAGTCAATTTGTCAATTAAAATCAAGATAACCTCTAAAAATCAAATTATTGTAATGCTTAACCCTTGATGGCCTTAAGTAGATTTAAATTAATGGACATTAGCCCTGCAATCAACACTAATTCTAAGTTTATCCGGATAATCTAAGGTATAGGGACCTGTACCTACACCGAACCTTGCCTATATAATCTCTAATTTCAAAAATAAATACCTAAACAATTTTCTGACAATTCCTTATTGCTAATTTTTGTTGATAATTTCTTCAAAACATTAGAGTTCTTTTAAAAACAAAATAAAATCAGTTATACTGTGTCCATAGGCGTGCTAATAAAAATAAACATAGCTATACAGGATGTTTTCAAAGTTGAGTCATTTATTTTAACAGCTTGTAGAACTCGTCAAAAGAAGTCGATATACCAAAAATCACCAAAATAAAAGTTGCATAATAGGGGAGTTATAGGTTTTTTTAAAATTAAAAACATTCATTATCGGTAAAATATATTCCATTTTTACAAAAATTGTTCAAAATTGTCACCATTTGTCCGATTAATGCATAGTCTTGCTCGGCGTACCTACGACTCCTGACAGGCCTCAAAAATAAAATCCGAATATCCGCGAATAACATCACAAGCATTTACAATGGGATCTTAAAGTTCTTACACAGTATTTACTTCTCCATCATGATACACCAACTGTTTTAAATAACCCCACAGAAAAAATCACAAGGCGTTAGGTCCGGGGAGCGTGCAGGCCAAGAAACGGGTCCATTCCTCCCTATACATCTATTCGGAAACTGTTCATTCAATTATTCACGAACTCCTCTTCTGAAATGCGGTGGAGCTCCGTCATGTAGAAACCACATATCCCACATTTAGTGGAACATCTTCTAATACTTCTGGCAGATGGTGTCGAAGAAAATCTAAATAAATGTCACCGGTTAGCCGAGGTGGAAAAAAGTATGCTCCAATAAGCATGCCATTTACTACACCAGCCCAAACATTTAATGAAAATCTATGTTGGAAATTAGATCTTCTTACGGCATGCTGATTTTCTACTGCTCAAACATGATTGTTGTGAAAATTGAATATCCCATTTCGTGTAAATGTGGATTCGTCTGTAGCTAAAATTATTTTCGTAAAATCTTCATTTCTGTTCAACTGTTGTAAACACCACTGGCAAAATTCAACTCTTCTAGGATGATCTTCAGGTTGTAATGCTTGTATCCGTTGATAATGATAAGGATAATATTGTTCCTGCGTATTGTTTTCCACACTTGACTATGGGAAACATCGACTTGAGTTGCTATGGCTCTGGTACTTATTGTTGGGTCATCTTCCACCATTTCCAAAATATTTTCCTCAATTTCTACCATTTCAGGTGGAGCAGGTCTTCCAGCGTGACCCCCTCGTTGTTCTTTCAAGTATCCTGTCTACGAAGTCGAATAACTAAATTTACAATCATCCATGGAGCCGGATGATTTCTTAATGAAAACCTTTCCGCGTAAAGGCGACATGCTGCGGCTGAATTTTGTTGGCACTCTCCGTATTTTAGTATTATGTCCACTAGTTCATTGTTTCCATAAACGTGGGCAATTTTTCCGTACAAAATATTAAAAAAATTAAAGTGATACGAACTAAACGCTTGATACCAATAACTAACCGAAAATCGTTCTCAAAACCGTAAAACCAAAAAAATAGCCATACCTAGATAAGTAAAATTGTCGTAGTAAACAAAAAACGATAAGTTTTTACTTGCCAGTGGTCAGGAATATTCAAATATGCGGATAAATAGTTTGTATTTGTTTTAGTTTTAAAATTTTGAAATTCCTTTTTATTTCTTTTAACATGCAACTTTTATTTAGGTGATTTTTGGTATAAGTATCGACTTCTTTTGACGAGTTCTACAAGCTGTTAAAATAAATGACTCAACTTTGAAAACACCCTGTATAGGTCGTCTAAGAAGCAAAAAATGTTTTTGTCCTCAAAAGGATATTTTTAAATTTTATTTGTTCGTGAATAACCTACTTTTGAGACGAAGTGTCGCATCACTTTGTCTAGAACGAAATTATATAAAAACGTTGAGTTCTTCGTTTGAATGTAAACAATAAATAAACTGTCCATTTTTTACTTTTCTGTGTCTAACAAGGAAAGTACAGTTCCGTTTTTTCAAAACAAATTTGACATTGGTTCGTCCACGTTTGTTTAACTAAAAATGTTCATTTGTTCACCCCCAAAACCGAGATATTCAAAAATAAAAAATAATACATATAGTCCTTAGGCTCAACCTTAATATATTTCATTTGAATTAAAAACGTGGACAAACGAATGCCAACTTTGTTTTATAAAAATTGACAGTGCTATTTTTCAATATAAGAGTTGTTTGTGATGTCCTTTTTAATTTTTGACCTACACATGATTTCTCTACAAGTATTAGAAATTAAAAATTTAAAAAAACTGACTTCAAAAACGTGCAGATGCCATCACCACATCTGAACCAAATTGATATGGGACCACCCCTGAGGTACTCCCTTACTAACAAAAAAAGAATCGCATAAATCGGACAAGGTGGTAAAGCATTATCGCTAAACATACATAAAAAATGATGAGTATAAGGATTTTCTCATGGACCCAATTATTAGATTTTGACCAAATTTATATGGCACCACCCCTGGAGTACTCCCTTTCTAACAAAAAAAGAATCATTGAAATCGGACACCGTGTTAAAGAATTATCGCTGAACATACATAAAAAAAATATTGCGACGAACTGAGAACCTCCTCCTTATTTGAAGTCGGTTAAGTTGGATAGTTGAATGGGTATATTATATTTTTTAACAAAAAATCACGAGAGGTGGGATAATAAAAAACTGTTTAATTCATATCGCCCTTTAGAAATACATCTAGACTACCGCACTGCAATATTATTGGTTTTTAGAAACCAAAATTAAACTTATTAGAATAATCACATTTTTATCATATTTTTCTAATTCAAAATATCTTATTACTAACCTTTCTCATTTTCACTTCTTCACCATCCCTATTTTGCACAGTAGGTCCAGGCCGGTTGCCAGTAAACTCTTTTCTAAAACCGTCGTTCCTTTTCTCGTTTTCCGAACCTGTTGTAAAATCCATCGATTTTGGCTGATTTTGTTGCGAATGTACAGCCATAGATCTTGCAAAAAAACTTTTATAATGTCTATTCTCGAATTCGCACTTGAAATCGAACTCTACATTGTTAGTCATCTTGGTCAGTTTTTCACAAATATTCAAATTATAATTCCATTTGTTTATCTATAAAATCTGAAACACTTCGAACACTGTACAAATGTTTAATAATGGGTACCGGAAAACGATCTAAAGGGCCTTAGTAACTGGTCCTAAGTTATAAATCCTACCATCGCAAAGAGACTACTAACTTATTTCAAAGTTTGAAAGTCTTTTGAAACGCGCCAGTGAACATAAATATACGCAAGCGTGGAAAGAGGTACAAGAGATTTAGTAAACAGAACATGAGTGACATCTATTGGTAAATAGTAGAAGTAAAATAAATTCATTACAGTTTCCTATGTGTAATTAATAAAAATCTGAAAGGAAAACAATGATATATGATATATAGATGGATTATCCTATGAAAATCGAGTTTCACTTGGCGAAGTTTTCTCTTTATCCACATATTTTGATTACTATACGGTGCAAAAGAGACGTCCGAGACACCCAACATAGGGCGCGGCCATTTTGATGCAATTACTACTATGTTCGGCAACACATTTTATCAAAATGTTAAACTGGTAGCCTCAAAATACCAAGATGTAGTATTTTAAGATTTTAAATGAAGGCAACGAATGTAGAAGAAACGTTTATTTATTTTAAATAATATACAAGAAACTTCTTTAAAGTAAAGTTATAATTGCGAGTGCATCTTGAAATAGAGGTGACTGGTTTTAAATTATTTCTAAAGCTGTGCATATGATTTTACCTTTTTTTTACCTTTAGTTTTTGTAATGTAATAAAAATCTTAGGGCCGATTCCACCGTTGTGTTAAACAGAGATTAAAATGACATGTTAATGTAAAAATCTTGTTTTAGAAATAACACTATATGAAACACGTAATATGTAATACATCTTTTGAAAAGGAATAAACTAAACAAAACTTTGCGAAGGGCCGATTCCACCGTTGTGTTAAACGAATTTTAAAATGACATTTTTACATTAACATGTCATTTTAATCTCTGTCTAACACAACGGTGGAATCGGCCCTTCGCAAAGTTTTGTTTAGTTTATTCCTTTTCAAAAGATGTATTACATATTACGTGTTTCATATAGTGTTATTTCCAAAACAAGATTGGTCTGAAATTGTTATAAAAATTGTTTAAATCTCTTATTTTTCTGAATGGAAACTCGACTTTTCAACACAAAAAATTGTTTTCAAAACATTTAACATAATCTCCTGTCTTGAAGTAAAAATTAAAGTAATTCTTTTTTTTTTAATATTTAACTCCTAATTTTTATTTTAAAATACATTTGAGCTAGAACGGTTCTGTTCAGTGAGCACTTTGAACTTTTCCTAGTTTGATTTACATATGGATGAGCAATCTATATAACTATAGATCATTGAAGATAAAGAAGGAATGATTTTGTTAGGTTATGTTTATAAATCAGTGTTTTGTGATCTTCATGTTAAAATTTTAAATTTTTAAATTTTAGTTGTAAAAATGAATGTAGAAAACGATGTTGAAGTCGAAAATATATTTTTAAACAACGTAAATGAGCCAGAAATTGATAAACCTTTATCGCCAACATTAAATTCCGGGTGGGTGAAAAGTTTTAACCGAAAATCTCACAGAAAAAGTAGAGTAAATTTAGTCAACAGATTTGAATTAGGAAAAAATGAAAAAACTGTCGATAAACAAATACAAGATTTTAACGAAGAAAGCTTCAGTATACAGGAAAATGAAGATTTATTAAACTGTTTTGAAAGATTGGAGGAAATTGAGAAAAATAGGAATACTGTTTATAAAGTATTATTACAAAATACAAAGAGTAATTTAACGTTTAAAAAACCGATTAGTCCAGCGCCTAAGAGACTCAAATCTTTACATTCACCTAAAAAAACCGAAGAAACAAAATTGGAATCGAAAGCCTCTAATGTGATTCAAGATGTGTGCGAGAAAATAATTGTAAATCACCAATCCCCAATAGAACTTCCCAAAACTTCCAATTTTCAAACGGCAACAGGAAAAGCAATATCCATAACTAAAGAAAACATAGAAAAACATTCTAAAATTTTTGAAGATATCATAAATTCCAGCCAAAGTGACAATAAAAGACAAAATAAGTTTAGTTCTTTAAAAAAAGTTTCAGAAGGAACTGAAAAAATCACAAATGAGAGCAAGATTTCTTTTACTCAAGAAATTTGTGATTCTGGGGTAAGTGATACTCAACTAATGTGTGCTTTAGACAACGTTTTGACTGTTAAAAACAGTGCTTATTCAGACAACAATGGATTTAAAGGTTTTAGTAGGAAAAACTTAGCAGACTCTTTATCTGCAAGCTGTAGGTTTAACTCTTTTCACAATGTATTGAAAAATAGTGAGAAACGTAAGTTGGAAGACTCTAATTCATTTTCAAATAAGAAATTGAGGTTAGATATTGATTTAAAGACTTCTAATTGTGGGTTTTCTAGTGCATCGGGAAAAAAATTTGAAATTAGTACTCAAGCAGTGAATAAAGGTAGACAAATATTTAACGATTTGGATAAAATTGGCAAAGAATTTCAATTTATTAGAGCTTGTGATAAAGAAATTAGTGCTAATGTAGAAACAAAAAATCAATTAAACAAATGTTCTAATTTACTGCCTATGGACATTAAAAGATTTCCTGCCAGTACTGCTGCAAGCTTTGATGGGTTTTCCAAAGCATCTGGTACAAAAATATCAGTACCTGTATCTGCTTTAAATAAAGCAAAAAATGTATTTGAAAATATTGATCTAGATATAGATTTAAAACCTTTGATGAGTGAAAAAAAATTGGGGGACAGTTCTGAGATAAAAGATAGCAAATCTCATGCATCTATTAAAGATAAATTGAAGTATTTTGATAAACTGATTGGAGATGACTGTGATTTTGTACCCAGAAGCAATTTTGTACTACCACAAATAGAAAAAAATGCCTCTAACATACAACCAGCAACACATATTAAGAACAAACTGGATTATTTTGATAAACTACTGCAAGAAGAAGATAAAAACGATGGAAATTTCTCAAACATTGTTAAAATTTCACAAAATTTAGGAAAATTCTCCAGTGCTGCAGGAAAATCATTACAACTCTCCACCTTAAAAAGAACGTCCACTGTATTCGACGATGTTTCAGATAAGACCCCTTTTAGTTTTTCCACCCCTACAAGAAGTTTTAACACGTCTGATGCCAGTATTAAAAAATCCAAACGAAAATTAGGAATATCTTCTTGTAGACAGATATCCATACCTGAATCAAAATTAGAGAAAGCTAAACTTATTTTCGATGAAGATTTCAATGGAATATCCCCAATTAAACATTTAAATCCAATACCAAGTGCACCACAAAGTTATAATTCCTGCTCGACGCCCGTGAGAAATGTTCAACCTTCTGTTAACTTTAATGTGCTGAAGGAGGATGTTGACATTAAAAACGTAGTTATTGAAGAAATTAGTAATGTTTTAAAGCTAAAAGATGACTCTTTAGTTACTTTTGATACTCTCTCAGAGAAGAATGCCACTGATTTTGAGATAGATCTTAAGAATGAGGTTAAAAAGTTGGAAGAACGTTTGACAGTGATGAAAACGCGGCATAAAATTTTTGAGAAATTAAAAGAAGAAAAGTCAGACTGTGATAAAAAGTATGTAGAAATTGGTAATGTATAAGATGCATCCAAAAAGTAATGAGATTATCCTTGGAGATTTGTCTTTGTTCTGCAGTTACTTCAACAATATCTAATCTTCAGAAATTTCTTTCATTGTCCCACCACTAGCCAGAGACCAATCAGTGGCTTATTAGTTAGATATGATCTTACAAAACAGTTGTTCATTTTGAAAAATACTCATTACTTTTAAGATGCATCTCCATGTTTAAAGTGTCTCAATCGATCTTAATTTTAGGCCAAAACCAGGAATATTATATACATCAAAAATTCACAATGACAAAATGTCTCTAAAAACCTTTGTACATGGAGAAAAAGTTGGCCAAAATGTAATAGAAGACTTATTTTGTATTACTCCAAAAAATGCAACTGATATACACTTTAAAGAGTAAGAAATTTTTATATTTTTGCATAATCATTTTACATATATATCTTAATTCCAATTTCATTTATTTCCAAATGATTCCAGAGTATAGAGTTAATGGTTATATATTTATTACGGTTTATAGCTTATATATTAAAGAGCTCGCAAGGGTCCAAATTTGGCCCTGTCACAATCATTTTTTGCTTAAATGATTTATTTGCTATCTCCTTTATTTTCTTGAGCCAATTTAACACAAGAAAAATATTTAAAATTTAATCCATTTTGTAGTAACTATTTTATTAATGAATCCTGCAAGGTTATGATTTTGGCCCTGTCCTAATACCTTTCTTTATGTGCATCTTATTCATTTAATTGAACCAGTCAAGAATATTAAATTAAAGTGTACTGCTAGGGTCTATTCAGGGCCTCATCCTAAAGTTCATGCCTAAATGATCTATTTGTATTTCTTATCTAATTTATTTAATCATCTAACCAAAATGTTGGCTGTTTTGCGACGAATATCAACTAGCAATAATTTATTCACAGTTGTGCAGCTACTATAATAACTGCAGATGGAGCCACGGTGGTTCCGAATGTGAAAAATCTGATAGGTTTGGGGGAAATAGAAATAGCTTTTAAGGCGATGACAGGAGTGGATCCCAAATTGATTCATAAGGGATGGATCAAAAATCATTACAAGTGGATTATTTGGAAGCTTGCTAGTTACGAGAGGACATTTCCTTGTTATTTTAAAACGGCTCTGAGTGTCGAGCATGTAATACAGCAGTTAAAATACAGGTTTGTATGTTTTTTATAGGTTAGATTAATAAAAATTACAGAAAACAATGATATAAATGTTTTGTTTTCAAATGGCGGATTTCTAAAGTCATAGTTTGCCTTTTCCAAGGTATCACCCTGCCATTTTTAGAAATACAATACTTAAAAACAATTATTGGAAAATCTCAAATCAGCAGTGCGATATCTCTATTGGATTTAAAATGGCTGTTTGTTGAAATCGAATTATGTGTTTTCAATGTGTTATATTCACAGAAATTATAGAAAATGTTATGTTGAGGACACCAATGTGATACCTTTATTAGTCTTAAAATAGTGGGGGGCTAAAGTTAAAACTATAAAGTTTTGGAGTTGTGGTGCGATTACCTTTTTAAATAAATTGACAAATGACATAAAAATGAATAAAATATCTCAAAAACGGTTAAAATTCGCAATGTATTTGAATTAAAAAAAAAAAAAAATTATAGATATGATCGAGAAATTGATAAAGTACAGAGATCGGCGATTAGAAAAATTTTAGAAAAAGATGACGCTCCTCAAAAAAGAATGGTCTTGTGCGTTTCGGATATTAAGAAGGTAAATTTAAAGTAAATGGCGTTTTATTGTAATAAAAATAACTATTTAATTTCAGTTAAACGTAAATAACTACGAGATAGAACTAACAGACGGATGGTATAGTATTAGAACCGTCATTGACGAACCGTTGAGTCATCAAATTCTAAATAAAAATCTTCAAATCGGTACCAAAATTATAACTTGTGGAGCAGAACTCTTAAATTGTGATGGCTGTCATCCGTTAGACGTAAGTGTATGCAAAGAAACACAAATTTTAGTCTAAACTTGCACGTATTTTAGGTTACGGACTTAACTTGTTTGAAAATTAACTTTAATTGTACCAGAAGGGCTAAATGGGACACCAAATTGGGTTATCAAAAATTTGTGGAACCATTTCCGATACCCGTACATACAGTTCATCCGTATGGTGGCATAATTTCTTCCGTTGACGTTTTTATAGCCAGAGTATATCCTTTTCGGTATTTGGACAAGTCAGAAAGTAGATCTGGTATAACTTTTTTCAATAATATAATAAATACAATATTTTTTGGTGTTATTTAATAAAAATGACAGATGACAGAGTTATTTTACTTTGACGATTGATTGAAATATTTATACTGGCAGTTGGCGCTGACATTTAAATTTGACGGTTACTTTGATTTGTGACACTTGACGTTGAGAAAATAAAGCTTGAGATTTGACATGTTTGATGTTTGAATTCTTAGTATTTTTAAAAACATGTGTAACTTGATATTTGACTGTGTTATTTCAATTTTAAACAGTTTGGAGAAATAAAAAAGCTGAGGAAAGGAGACAGCAAGAATGGGAGAACGATAGATTCAAAAGATTAGAAAAATTAGAAGAAGACATAAGAAAGGAATGTACATTGGTCTACGATAAGGAAAATAAAAATGGCTTCAAAAGAAACAACAATAAGGTCGATATTTCTGATATTACATGTCCAATGAGGTTATTGGAGGTCATAGAAAATAGCAACGATCCGATTAGTATACAGGTATATCAAAAAATACTTATATTGGTGAAATGGAAATATGTATTTAAAACCGATTTAGGGAACATAACATTGTTTTACAGGAATCGCTGACGCCATCTCAAAAGTCTCTCCTTCTGGACTACAAGAGTAAACTTTTGGTGCAACAACAGCATGAAATGCAAACCAAAATAAAGAATAGCGCAGAAAAATTGAAAATGGCTAAAAGAGAGGTCGTGCCACTCTTGAAAATGTTGGTGGTGGATATGAACGGTAGTTCTACCAAAGGTTTTAACTTCCTTTTGTGGCGACCTACGGAATGTCACGTTCAAATTCTGAAAGAAAATAGACGGTTGACGGCGTACAACGTCTTGCCGAAGTAAGAGGAAATTTTTGATGTAAAAAAACTTTTCAAAATAATACATTTTTTAGAATGAACGGGGATCTGTATGCTTCCTCAAGGACGGTGTTTAAAGAAAAACCAAATACTGACATCACTTCGATATTTAAAAGGAAATTAGTACGAATCGAAGAGTTGGACTGTTTGAATCTGTCTAAAAACTTCAACGAGTTTGACACAGTCGGCATCGTCGTAGAAATTTCTGCTGAATCTGATAGCCAGGAAATATGGCTCTGTAACAATTCGGGAAGGTACAACGTACCATTTTGGTACATTTAATTCATTATTGTTGTGGTATTATTATTTGTAGGTTGTTGGTGATAAAAATTTTTGAAACTCCTGCCACTTGCTTGCTGTTGGACGGTTTAAAGAGGGGGCAAGTGACGTCTGTTTGTAATTTGGTGTTCCGTGGTTTGTCAGATGACGTTTGTAGAGCTTGCGCCGATCATTTTACCGTTTTCTCTTCATACCCGAAGTACAAACATCTGCAAAACGGCCTCGACGATTTAAAAAAAGAGTTACCAGAGGTGAGATTATTTATTTTATTATACAGGTTAGGAAAAAAGTATACGAGCCATACAGTGTAGTTACGTCTATTTATATTAATTGTAGATTGTAACGTGTTAATATTCGTAACAAGTCAATACATTTAGCTGATTTGCTGCTCGGCTCTGGCAGGATAACCTACGCTATTGCAGATTGCATGTAAGCAATTTGGTTTAAAAATACTGTAGGCTTTCCTACAATTTTAATTTTAAAATGTTGCTCTTGGTTTACACTAAATAGGAAAAGATGAAGATAATTCCGTGGACCAGGTAATAAATTTATTTATTGGGGCGTATGAAAATCAGTCAATTCCACACCGTTCGACAATTAAAAGAATGATTAAAAACTTTGAGAGTTTTGGATGTCTACAACTTGAAATCTTGATGAGTGATAAAAGTAATATCAAACGCAGGAAACGTGGTAGTTATGTAGACCTGGGCTTTGAACAGACCGTCACACAGTATAGAGACGGCCGTACACTCACAGTGCCTATCCCATTGGCTTGCATACTTTTTCCTAACTTGTATATATAACATGTCAAATCTGTTTGTATTTTACTCATTTTATATTTGATGTAGGTGTTCTTGATTGTTTATTGAGAATTTTTATTAAAGTGGCTCATGACAAAATGGTAATTTTCGGAAATTTTTAGGATGTGAACAAAATGTTGGAAGACTGTGATAATAGAATAGAAAAATGGAAGGAACAAAGTTCAAAAAGTAGTTTCTCTGTGGTCTATGATTATGATGAAGAGGATACTACTTTAATGACATCCAAGCTTACGAGTACTGATATAGCATTGTCGTTAATAGATATGGATAAGTTTATATAGTGTCGGTTTTTGTTGTTTTTGTTGAATATGTAAAAATAGAGGTTAAGATAAGTTATATTTTGGTCTAAGAGCTGGCCGTATAAAATTGGTTTGTCTTAGTTTTATGCACCCAAAATAATAATAACACTTCAGGTACAGCAATTTTAAGATTGTTAAAAAGGTATTATATAGTAAAGAAATATGTCTATCATATGTAAAAGAGGAACATAGTAATATATGAAAACATTCGGCTGACTAACGTCACGTGTGCACAAGTATGACGCAGCCTCTTTTAGAAGATAATCTGTTGTTATCTTCTATTGTGATGAAATTAGCGACAAAAGGAAACTAAAAGCTTCTTTAATAACAACTACAGTTGCCTTTGTTTATATACTCAAAAATAATGGCTGAATTGGCTTTTGTATCGCGTTCCAGATAACAGTTTCCACAAGATTAAATACCTTAAAAATGGCTACAAATAAAAATAACAATTGTTTGTTCACAATATATTTTTCATTGGTACCTTTTAAAATGTCACTTTTGTGCTACTTTTTCCGAAATTAGAGTTTTATTCTTTTGTTATCAGTAAAAACCAATTTAGCCAGTACTTAGATATTATTAAAGATGAGGCTTCTAGCTTTCATTTGACACTAATTTCATCATAATAGGCGGTAACAACAACTGATTAAGCGCACATCGAAAGGGACTGTGCCCACGTGGAGTTATTCAGCCGCATGTTTTCAATTATGAGTAATACTCCTCTTTCACTTGTGATATATTTGTTCACTAAAAAATACCTCTTCAATAACCTTAAAAAAAAAGTAAGATCGGAAGTGTGTTGTTGTTTTGAAGGGTGCGTAAAACCACGGCACAGCAATAATAATTTTTTTCAAATCAGAATTTAATTCTTTCGATTTTATTCGTCCGGTTCTCAGTCTATTTCTTATAGTGTTATTTTATTAAATTAAAATTATACCCATCTACTGTGTCTTTTAATATCACTTATTATTAGTATTTAGGTACCCCAAGCCCTGTGGAGCGGGCAGACAGAATAGCTCCACCCGGGCATTTACCATCGGGGTGGTAGAAGCCCACCAAATGGCAACCTCCAGAAATGGGGCATCTAGTGACGCTTCGGCGACGTTATTAGCCTGCAGGACTGACGAGCTGAAATATTGGCTGTCCATAGATTCCTTTCGGGGTCTTGTCAACCAGCAGGCTTTTAACAAGGTGAGAGGCGGATCCTAGATTCCACTGGAGGATCGCCCTATGGAGCGGGCTTACAGAATAGCTCCATCCTAGCATTTACCTTCGGGAAGGTAGAAACTTACTAAATGGCAACTTCCAAAAATTGGGCATCTAGTGCCGCCTCGGCGACGTTATTTGCCTACAGGACTGACGAGCTGAGATACTGGCTGTCCTTAGACACCTCTCGGCGATTTGTCAACCAACAGGCCTTTAATGAGCTGTGGGGCAGGTCCTGTATGCCTAGACGATAGCCCTGTGGAGTGGACGGTCAGAACAGCTCCATCGGGAGGTAGAAGCCCATAAAATGGCCTCTTCCAAAAATGAAGAACTTGTTGACGCTTCGGCGACGTTATTTGCCTATAGGATTTTGACACTCGCGTATCGGGGACAACACTAATCATTTGTAATTGCTATGGTGGGAGGTGTTTGTGTGAATGCGTCTTGTTCGTTTTCATTTACGCCGTGACTAGCAGTAGTATTTTATAAACCTTAGAAGCAAAATATCACATACATGAACAAATAATAATAATGTGACAACAAGAAGATGAAGCAACGACTTCTCATAGGGTGGCGGCTTCGCAGAAAATTTTAATCCATACCTGGCTACGCCGACCGGCATAAACACCAACGGCCTGGACACAGCTCACCTACTCTGTCAAAAGGAGACCGATGTACAAATAAAACGCGTACGACATGCGCACTACAAATGATTAGTGTCGTCCCCGATACACGAGTGATTTTGACGAGCTGAGAGACTGGCTGTCCTTAGGGATCTCTCGGCGACTTTTCAATTAACAGGCTTTTGACGAGCTGGATGCAGTTCATATATGCATGAAGATTAGTCCTGTGGTACGAGCCAACATAATAGCTCTACCCCGGGCATTTATGTTCGGGGTGGTAGAAACCCACTAAATGATCACTTCCATAAATGGGACATCTAGCGACGCCTCGACGACGTTATTAGCCTGCGGGATTTTGACGAGCTGGGAGGATGGCTATCCCTAGACACCTCTCGACGACTTGTCAATCAGCAGGCTTCTGACGATCTGAAAGGAAAGTCCTATATTCCCCTGGAGGATCGCTATGTGGTGTGGACAGACTGAATAGCTTCATCCGGGGGCATTTACCATCGGGATGGTAGAAGTACACCAAATGGTCATTTCCAGAAATGGGACATCTACTAGTGACGCATTGATGACGTTATTGGCCTGCAGAACTTTAACGAGCAGAGAAACTGGCTATTTATAGACACCTAGTTTATTACAAAAATAAAAAATATATTTGAGTAAAAGTGTATTTTAATTTGCCTTCAGTTTTATTCAGGTATAATTCAAAAATATTAAGTATTTACCAAATTTCTCAATTTCCACATTTATCATCGTTAATTGCATGTTTACATAAGATTAAATAATAAATAGTAAATAATTTAGTAATTAAAATAAATAGAACTTATTTAAAATTAAAAACGATAGTAATGTTTGTCCTTTATTTAGCAATAATAGTATATTTTTATTATTTTCATAAATGTATATAAACTATAAGAAGCCATGTATTTCTAGGATCAGTTGAAACACCAGCGCCCTTACGGTGAATTTTAAAAGCCCAATTAACATTCATTTTTCGGGACCACATCGAATCGCCGATTTGCACTTCAATTCGCTGATTCATTTACTTTTCTTTAGTCTTCATACACAGTGCGTTAAAAAGGAACGTTTCTTGTTTTCTACTATTTATTTTCTACTACCTTTATGGAGGTCTCTTATAAGGCGCATTTCAATGAATTTTTTTTTAAGGTTGCTTTCGGTGCATTGCTAAATTGGTTCTTGACTGAGATATTGAAAGAACAAACCTCTATCGTCCTTGTTTTGTCTCCACAATCATTTCTTTGCATTTAATTCTTTTTGAGTTATGCGGATTTTTAATTTTAAATGATGAGTAGGGAAAACTGTTAATTTAAAGAGTTGTAGGTTTAGGTTGCCAGCAAAAAAAAACTCTTTTTAGGTGACTGATCACAAACTACTTAAATTTTATAGTTCTTAAATCGAAAACATGGTTTAACATAGTTCAGATGACAATCTACTATTCGTAAAAAATCGCTGATTTTATTATCGTTTCATATCGTCCACATATCTTAGAACCACCGACATTTTCTCGAGAACGGATTGTCAGAAATGTACAATATTTTGGATGTGGGGATTTAAGGACATTATATTTTAGATAATATTGGCAACTTTGATTTTTTAAATGTAACAGTCTGTATATTGTTTGATTTTTCATTTTACCCCGCAATCCTAGTTCTATGTCACATTTTTGTGACCGGCACTGTTTGTAGGATTAGTAAATGCCATTATTAGTCTCGCATGTCTATTTTCAAACCCAAATTACTATTTTATTTTGGTTTCAGAATTAATTTTCGTTTTAGATATTTTAATTATCATATTTTATGATTGCTTTTGAAATCCTCGGTACCTAATTGATACTTTGAAAGTTTATCGGGCGTTACGACAAAGCAACAATTATTATCAAATATGTGTAATACACTTTAGTCTGAAGTGCAGTTATTATAGGGACATCAAAAACTGTCAGCTGTTTAAAATACAATAATTACAAATCGCAAAAAATTAAATAATTTTTGTATGTTGTTTATTTCATTGTATGTAGTTATTATTTTTCTTTTTAACAAAGTTTTTGTTGTACCCACGAGAGTGGAAAAGTATATCTAGGTAATATCTGACGATACTAAGAATGATATTAATTTTTTATTATTCTATTTAATAGTAACTGAAATGCCTTGTGGAGCGAGCTGTCAGAATAGCTCCATCGGGGTGGTAGAAGCTTACCAAATGGTCACTTCTCAAAAATGGGACATCCACTGACGTCTCGGCGACGTTATTAGCCTGCAGAACTCTGACGAGCTGAGAGTATGGCTATCCCTAGACACATCTCGGTGACTTGTCAACTAGCAAGCTTTTGACGAGCTGAGATGCAGGTCCTGTATGCCCCTGGAAAATCGCCTGTGGTTCGGGCTGTGGGCCGACAGAATAGCCTCATATAGGTATTTTCAATCGGGGTGGTAGAATCCCACCAAATGGTCAATTTCAGAAATTAGTGAGCGACGTTATTAACATGTAGGCTTTTGACAAGCTGAGAAGCAGGTCCCCGGAAAGATGCAGAATTGTCCTTTTTTCAGGAAAGGAAAATGCTTTATGTACATCAGTTGCTGCCATTGTAAATGATAGTATGGGATTACCATCCACTAAAAACCTCTCTGCTCTGTCTCTCCGTCGAGATGTCCTTGGCGTGTGTCTAGTCCATGGTCTGTCTGACCTTTTTCCGTCTCCCTTTCTTTGAAACGCAGCGTTTGTTTTCTCTCTAAAGGTCTTGTTTTCTCGCGCATTGAAGATTGTGTGTTTGGGTGAGTCGTCCTCCCCCAAGTATTCGCAGTTTAACTCTTCTTCTTTGCCGATTTTGAGGTATATTTCTTGAATGACCCATGTCCCATCTCCGGACAAAATTTGGGTTAAACAATGTTCCACTCCGCTCTGCTCGCAGTTCGCCCAGGGGTGTAGATTATGGACATCAGCCTTTTAGTCTACTGCACTTTGCTCTCGATTACTTTTCTGTCACTTTTGCATGAGTCGTTCTTTTTCAGCTAATACGTCAAATTCGTGAAAGCCACGCCTTCCACCGCAATATCATACCTTCTTTTTATAGTATCATGATTTTGAGAAACACTTTTAGTATACAAAGATAGTTCTGCTTATCTCTACACTCGATAACATTGACGTATATAGTTTATTCATTAAAGAATATAAAGTTTTCCATTTAGTAGAACGCATGTTCAAAAACAATTTATTATGGTGTACATTCTGTAATTTTTCAATGATCATTGTCACTGTTTTAACCTGGCAACACTGAAGGGAAAAAATGGCGACTCATTTTTTACTTGTCAGAAATACAATCGTGCATAACTGTTTATTATAGCTTTTATCGAGTAAAATATACAACTGGAGTGTATATTTAAAATAATACTAATGTATTAAGTTTATAAAAAAATTACAAAATGATCAAAAGCAGTGTAAACGAATTACATAGGTTGTACTATTGAAATGAAAGATGAAAAAGAATGGTATGGTCAAAAAATTAAGTATATTGTTATTGCTGTATAGTTTATAATATTTTAAGGGATTATTCTTTACAAAAACAACTATCTACTGACGTCATCTTAAACATATTGAAAAAATTTTCCCTTCGAGATTTTTACATTTTTTTTTTTGGAATAGAGGTACCTGCTTAGGACTTTTTTGTAACACTTCTCAAATTGTGGGCAAGAAAATCTTCTTTCTTGTGAAAACATTTAAATTAAGTAAGAGATGTTCGTCGTTAAGTGCACCAACTAGCGTAATGTAGACTGTATCCACTGACAAAGTGTAGAAATACCTTACCAAGTTATGAATCGTTGATCATTACATAACTAATAGTTCATGGTCAGATGAAATAACATGTTGAGTTACGCTATATAGAGACAAGACACCGTTTGACTTTATTACAACTATAATACGCCCACTTACTTTTCAATCCATTATTTTATTATAATTATTTTAGGTCATTTATTCTGTTCTATTTTTACGACTTATTATTATGTCTCTTGAAACGAATGTATAGATACATAGGTATACTGTGAAACAATAAGCTTCAATAAAATATTACTTTATTATAATGATTTAT